ACTGTCCTGTAGATGTGATCTGCATAGTTCCTTGTTGATCCTTCCTACGTTCGGTGCTATGACACGCTCACTGGCGGTTCAAGAAAGCGCTGCTTGTGGAAGAACTAAAGTTGTGTGGAAGCATGTAGGAAGCTCCCAACACTTGGCAGCCATTAACAAATTGTGCACTGCGGACACACACTCTGGCCCTTTCTTTTATCTCACTGGGCTCCACAAAGCTGTCGTTTCCCAGAACTGTCGGTGATCACATCAAATAAAAATGCTAACACTCGTGGAAACTATTCCTTATTGTCTGCTGTTGCACTTGTAAAAATATTTAACTTAGTGGATTCTGAGATTTGTGAAATAAAGCCCTCTACTAGTCTCTGTATATCTAACAATACATCTGGCAAAAGGGTTTTAAACAAGCTGGTGTTTCTCCAGCAGACTGGGCTGGAATTGTCCCCATATTTACTGGAAATTGTGGTCTGGGAAACAGAGTAAAGAAAATGGATGTTTTTTTGTGTGTTTCTTTAAAGCTGGATTGTTTGAAAGTTGAGAGGTGTTTTGTGGGTCACCCCATGGTTAAATATAGACGAGTGTTTATATGAAGGTCAGAGGGCCAGCACGGGCCATGGGTTTTGGTTGGGAACATTCGATAAAAAGCATTTTGAAGGCAGGGGTTTCCACTCAGTACAGAGCCTCTTTCTTTGGGCCACCTGGTGGGAGGGAAGCTGTTTCACAGGTGTGGAAGCTGAAAGAATGGAGAGGTGGGGGGGGGGAGTCGACCACCATTGTGAGAAACATCTGGACAGCAGATCACAGGCTTCACAGACCCCCCCGTCTGTCTGTCTGTCTGGGGGCAGTGACAGCATCCTCCAGGGAGCAGGCCCATGTCCCTGGTGGAGCAGACTCCATGCAGGCAGTCTATTTCCTCTCATAAAGGTGGATGTGGAGAGGTGCCCCTCTGTATTGGGCTAATAGACCGTTTTAATGGACTTCACACAGCTCCCAGTACGAACTCCGCGGGTCGCCACCAGAAAAATAATTGACGGCACTCCAAATATGAAACAGAAGCTGGCCTAATTAGGCCACAGCATTGCTACTCGCGTCTTTTTCTGTGCTCTTCTGTTTCACTGAGCATAAAAACCCAAAGACGTTACAGAGACTTTGCTTGCTGGACCAGAAATGTAAAGATTTTTATATCCATAATGCACAGAATATAAAAAAGGAACCTAAAGTATTTCAAATATAGAAGTATGACGCAAATAATATAAAAAGTATTATAGCCTTATTCCTTATTTCTTGCCATTTCACCTTTCTAGGTCTAGTACCATTCTGTAGGGGAGGCTTGAAATGGATTTCTATTTATGAATAATTTATCCATTTTCTATCTGCTTTATTCAATTTGCAGTTGCAGGGGAGCCTCAGCCTATCCCAGCAAGCAATGGGCGCTAAGCAGGGTACTGTACACCCTGGATGGGATGCCAGTCCATCCCAGGGCACACACACACACACACACACAGACACACACACTCACACCAGAGACAATTTTTCCAGAAGCCAATTAACCTGCCAGCATGTCTTTGGACTGTGGCAGGAAAGCGGAGCACCCGGAGGAAACCCACACAAACACAGGGAGAACATGCAAGCTCCACACAGAGAGTACCTACGATTTGAACACAAGGCCCCAGCACTGTGAGGCAGCAGTGCTAACCACAATGCCACCCTGCCACCCATTTTAAAAAAATATACTCTTTAAGAAAAAACAAAAAAGAAATCCAAAATGGAGTTGTTCACTGTCTAGGGTACTGCTAAGATGTCTGGAAGTGAAGCTCACTGATGCCAAATGCTGCAGGTCAAGACCAGAGTCAGCCTGCTTGATTTTCAAGGGGAAGAAGCAGACCTCATCGCAGCTGCCCAAGCGTGGTGAAGAATGTGCCCTTTAACCCGAGCACAACCTGGGGAACACAGAGACAGAATAAACTGACCAGGAGTCGGCCTCTATTTTTAGCTCTGCTTTTCACCTCATTAAAAGGATGTTTCTGCAGCCACAGCAGGCTGTCAGCAGGCAATCAACCAGTGCCAGAAAAACACAGACGAAGGAAAAAATGTCTTTAAAACCCATCTTCATTCCAGCACAGTGGTTTTCCAGCCTATTATACAAATTATGTAATAAAGCCTGAATTTTTGCTCTCAACAGTAAGTGCCTTCTTTTTTTACAGTCAGGAATTTCACTGGTGCACTTTGAGCATCTTCCTGGGCAGTCAGCATCAAACAGTTTATAGATTTTACAGTTAACATAGCTCACATAGCTACATAGCAGGCATTTTATGTGCCTATGCCGTCTTTGAGTAAGTGCTCAGGGCAAGACCAACAACAAAGTGAAGGAAAAATACAAGTATGCACAAACAGGATTTTGAGTGTTGGAACATATTTTGACTTTATTGCATCCTCCCTTTTATATTAGTCAGGAGCCTGTTAAGTTGTCTACTGTCTAATTCCAAAATTCATTAAAATATTAAGCAGTTACACATTACATATTAGTATAGCTGTATTTTTTCTAGGGGTTTTCTTGTTGTGGCTACCTAAGATTGAATCAGATTCATCGTTAGTTGAGGATGAATAGAATAATATCTCAAAAGTCACATACTAGAAGTTGGTAAATAGCTTTATTACTTGACTATTCCATCATAGCTGAGGAACGCATGCTGGTTCAGTTGTATGGACATTGATAGATATTTGAACTGACAATGTTGGATCCCTGTTATTTGTCTAAGAATAACACAGTGAGTGCTGAGATGTTTTTGTAAGCTGTGTACTGTATTTATTGTGTGCAAATGCCACTTGATTTATTTCCGAAACCATTGTTGGCTTCGACTTACATATGAAATATGTCACTGAAAATGTGCCTTACCATCATCTTTCTCATTGTCAAAGGCTTGAGGGTATTTTTGCTCCTCCATGAGATAAAACATGGAGTGATTCAGTGATATGTTTATTCAGCTCTGCACGTATCCTCCAGTTATTACTGAGCAAGTGGATCTGATGAGGAAAACCCCAGAAAATCCATCCCCAGAAATCAAACCTTCCAAAAAAATGGGAAGAACTTGATTTACAAAATGTATGAAGAACGTGTCTGAAGAGGTTTACATATGTTGTACTTGCTTTTGGCCCTTGACACTCTGGGGGCAGGTTCATAGTCAGGTACAGGTAGGTACATAGACACATAGTCAGGTACAGGTAGTTACATAGACACATAGACAGGTACAGGTAAGTACATAGACACATAGACAGGTATTTGCAGGTACAGTGCATAGACACATAGACAGGTATATGCAGG